AGTAAATGGGGCCCAAATGGGGCTCCCATTTACTGAAATACCATGAATTTCGATCCCCCATTCCAAACGTGAGTACCCCAGGCCATTTCCGTTACAGTATTATTTAATGCCTGGTGTAAAACAATGTGGTAGGGATGCATTTATTATTTTGAAGAATCTTATGGACAATTGTTCTTGGAACTCCCAGGTCGTCCGATATCTTTCTCGTGCTTAAGACGGGATCGTATTCCACGTAGGCCAAAACGTTAACAAAATTTTCTACGTTGCAGGTTCTGCGATCACCTCGCTAATCTGGAAAACACTTGTCCGTGAAAAAAAATTCTTTGTGGAAATCGCACTGCATATTGTCACGACGCAATTGCAGCATTTTCGATATGAATACGCAACATATACGATTCGGGGTTAGTAAAATGCATATTTTTTCAAAACCTCGCGCAACAAGTAAAATCTAAACTTTAGTTGACTTGTTTCAAATCAAACGGTTTAACGAAAAATGGGTTTTAAAAGACACTAAAATGATCTTTCAAACAAGGCAAAAAATAGTGGAATCGGTTAAGTGGTTCAGGAGAAATTAAAATTTAAGTACTGAAAACCAGTCCTTTATTATGAGGAATACAAAAAAATGTCTGAGAGATAAACGATGCGGTATTACCCAAGCTCTCAAATGACGTTTCTAAAGTTATAGCTCATTTGCCCTTATTTGGAGATACTAAGATTGTTTTATTTTGTGGTAGAAGTTACGCCCCTAATAGTAAAGCTACGAACTTCAATACATTTTCCACCCATTTTTTATGCCAACTTTACTTGCAAGGATTTTTTCCTGAAACCGCTAGTCCTTACCGTTGTCGAGATACGGCCGCTCTGTACCCTTATCCGGACACCCTGTATGAATTTAAAAAATTGCAGAACGTTACTTGGCATTTAATATTTTGTGTGCATGGCATGTGCGAACATGCGTGGTGGACTGCTATGGAAAACGAAAAAGGTCCAAAATAAAGCCAAAACTTGTATTTAAAATTTTTGTCGTATATTTGACAATATAAGTTTATAAAAAAAATAGGAAAAAACGGAAAATCAATCGCAGTCGTTGGGGGCTAGCACTTTCAAGATGGCACCTTCTAAAGCACTTTCAAGATAGCCACATTTCCTATTATACCGGAAGTAGCTATCAATTTACTTATTTTAAATCGAACACCCTATATATTGTTTGATTTTTGAAATCTACTAAAATTCCAAATAAATTTCATGTATCATATCCGATAACTAATTCTAACCGTTTTAGAGAAATATGAAATTTTATGAAAAAAATGACAATTGCAACCACTGGAACAATTTTCATTTTTCGTATAAAGGAATATGTGCCACTTAACTTGACCCGCATTTGTTGTTGAAGAGTACTCACTTTAATGGAATTTCGACAATTTACTATTAAATAATGTGTTAAAAAAAATAGTTTCAAATTGACGTTGTGAAAACCACCCAAAATTAATTTTTTTCAAATGGAAACTTCCATTTTTAGTAATGGTGTATCATTCGGTATTAAAAATAAGAGTAGGATTGTGATAAGTTGTCTATAACAAAAGTGTTTAGTTTTCGAAATATTGTCAATTTACTGTTTTAATATGGCAATTTTGCGGCATCTTATTTTCAATACAGTCGCTCTCACTTGCGATGACGAAAGTGGTCATTTCTAATACAATCAAATGCGAAAGAAATGCTTTCAGCTCTCGCTATCTATTGAAAATAATTAAAAATCATGGCCAGACACTTAAATTATACAAGCGAAGATTATTTAAACTTATTCATTATTTATGAAGAATGTGATAAGGTTATATCAAGAACATGGGACATATTTGCCATTTGATATCTACAAAAGGGGAGCCTTCACGCTGTGCTCTTAAACAAATTATATAAAATTCTAAGAATTTTGGATACGACTAAATAACAATGAATGTTCAATTTATAAAGGCATCCAGAAAAAAAAACGGTTCTTGATGTCCTTTGCCACACTTCCCCATAAATAATAAATAAGTTTAAATAATAACTCTGCTACTAACTAATAATAATAATTCGTTTGTATAATAAGCGTCCGACCATGATAATTAATAATATTCAAACGGTAAGTGCAAACGTTCCTTTAGCATTTTATGGTATTAAAAATGGGAACTTGACGAAGTGGGCGATGAGGCTGGTGAATGACTGCTGTGAGGCCGTTCTTTGCAGATTTCCATGTTTTAGTCGGTGGTAGTGGGTGATAGTTGATGACAGTGGTTGCTGTGGGACCGCTGCCTAAAAGTGATTGCATTTAAAATAAGATGCCGCAAAATAACCATATTGTTCTGCTGCAGAATAAATTTTCAAACCTCTTTGACGATTTTTCAGTGGGAATGAGAAACGGTATGGTTTTCACAAAAATCACAAGAAAGTGCACTCATATTTTAGGCCAGAGCAACAACAAATTCTTTAAACACGAAGTTTCCGGACAGACGGATTGGGCGTGGTGGACCTGTGCTCTGGCCACCACATTTACTTTTTATCTGGGGGTTTGCTAGATGCACACGTCTAGAAGAATTTGTCTAAACCCAATTCAGATGCAGAACTGCATTTTGCATCGCACAATGGACCCTGCCAATAGTCTGCCAAGAGGACATATGCATATGCGTCGAAGTGGAGTAGCTCATCTCAGAAGAAGACTCTATAAGAGTGTAAAGATCGCAAAGGTTTAATTTTTGGGCACTTGTAATTATAAGCTTCTGTACTTCTAACTTTTATAATTTTATAACATTTAGATACTTGTATACTTAAGCCATTGAGTGATGTATGTGCTACACACTACAATAACGCGCGGGCCAGTACATGCAAAATTAATAATTTGAACAAGATTCTGGTATGAGTTTATATATGTTCCAATACAATGGATGGTTCCCATTTAAATGTGACAAATCTGATCAACTTACGACAAATCTGACTACAAACTTAGCAGCATGTTGTAGCAAAAAAATGCAAGAGAGATTTTTAATTGGGAATATGACAAAGAATTTTCCATACAATTGCAATAATAAAAAATTTCAGTGACGTAACATTTTTTCTTTAACTAATTCTGTAGCGTGCAGGTACGCACGCCACTGGTAAGATTTACATAATTATTTTAATGCAAAACATGCGACGTTTGATAACATTATTGACCCTTCGTAGAATCAAGTAATTGAAACCACTTGTTTAATGTCAACACCCGGTACACTAGTGAAAAATTAAAACTATGCTTATCTCGATACATGCATACCACTCTCGTAAATGTTGAAAATAATTTAGACAAACTCAAGCTTTCAAAAAGGCAAAGATCTAAAAGGACGTTAACTTTTAACAATCATGAGGTAAGTTTTTAAAATGTTTTGTTCTCCCAAAAGGAAGAAATTTTTTCCCCAAAAACTAATGAATGTTTTAACACTTTGTAAATTATAAATTTTATATGTTTTAATTGTGAATTGATATTTGTAGTTTGTGTCAAATTTTAAATCTGATGATGGCGCTGTTGTCTCGCCGAAACGTAATGAAATAAACGATGTTTCAAAATTTTTACTTTACACTTTGACTGAAACCCAGGAAAGTTAGGAATATCATAATAAGTACACGCAGTCAGGAAAATAAATCAGAATTTTACTAGTAATGTAAGACGTGGCTAATTGTAGACAATAACAGAGTAAGAAGTAGAGTGTAGAAACAAGGGGTCAGAGAAGTAGGACACCGAGAAGATATACTCGAATAAGACGAAACGGTATATTAATTTTATTAAGACGAAATAATTGTTAATATACAACGACGTAAACTACATTAACAATAAGTGATACGAGTTGTGACAATCTTCAGTTTTATTTCATTATATTAAATTTTGTACCAATCACTGCTGTGTCTAAATGAAATCTCTCCCCACTGAACAAATAGAATCGCACAAGACGTATAAATTTTTAAGTTTGACTGAACATTTTGCTAAAACTATTTATACACATTATTTGTTGTAGGTAAGTGGCGTTTGATCAAAAATGAGTATGAGTATGTTTTGGTAATAAATAGATTAATTTCTACTTTGTTAATATTAGCTCGAAATAGCGTCATAAACCAGTTACATAACATCTAGGGTACCATTTATTTTTGAATTTTCAGATGATTGTCACAATTGTCCGTCTCCAAGACCCTCGAAACCACGACTGCCATAAGCGTCAGAGCCCATGTGCTTAGTTAGAGCGAAATGTGTATCCAAGAAAATTCATACTGCGATTCGTCAGAAGGAGGTTAATAAGTTTTAAGTTGACGAAGCAAAAAGTTTTTTCTTATCAAGTTCAACGCTTTTTGATCATTGAATGCCAATAAAATACATATTTAACTTTGTTTTAATCAAGTAACTTGCAATCTGAACATTTATTTTGGGTTTGAGTGTCAATTTTTTAAAATCGTTGTGAAGTTCAGGGTAATGGATCTTGACATCAAATTTATTTTTGATGTTTCTGTGTTATATTGCCATTTATATTGACTTCCTATAACTGTTATGGCATATATTGTATACCTGTATATTTTTTCTACTGTTTTCTTTGGTTCTGTATTTGCCGGAATAGCAGTATTTTTTAATCACAGTTTTCAAGAATCTTTAAAATCTGAAGCGCGTGTATGAAAAACAGCTAAAACGAATGCTTCATTCATGTCCAAAGCCAAATAACTGATCTTGATGGTGGTACCATATCTATCCAGAAGTGGTGATGCAATCAATCATGTCACGTTAATAAGGTACTGTCAGAACATCAAACGGCAAATTAAATGCAGAATCCCTGTACTATTTGCTGAACTGTCGATAACTAAATTGAATGGAACCAGTTTAATAAACCTAACGTATATTCAAATAATTGTAGACGTTCAACTCACATGTCATCAAACTGTAGAATGGCAGTTCTAAGTATTTGCGATCGTGAAGCATAGATTAACTGAATTGAGTAGGGTTTTCTCAGGTTTTGTACGCTGCTAAAGATGTAGAAAAACATCAATGAATGATTTGGATGAATCAACTGCAAATAAACAGAACTTTGAAGAATTGTGAAAGAAAAGAAATAATTTTGGTCAATATTTGTCATTACAACACA